AGCAGAGACAGGATTTCACCATGTTGGTCAGAATGGTCTCGATCTCTTGACCTCGTGATCCGCCTGCCTCGGCCTTCCAAAGTGCTGGGATTACAGGTGTTAGCCACTGCACCCAGCCTCCATAAAGTATTTTTTTAATTGCAAAATAATACAAGTGGTGCTTACTCTATTTTTCAGCACTGAATTGTGGGACACAAATCTATCAGTCCCAAGGCACACAGTAATTGTTTGAAACTTTTTATTATGGAAAAGTAATTTAAACATATATAATAATATAAAGACTATTTTGATGAACCCTGGTCCTAATATCCAGCTTCAACCATTACCCACTTCTGGCCACCATCTTTCTTTCTTTTTTTTTTCTTTGAGACAGAGTTTCACTGTTGTTGCCCAAGCTGGAGTGCAATGGTGCGATCTTAGCTCACTGAAACCTCTGCCTCCCAGTTCAAGCAATTTTCCTGCCTCAGCCTCCCAAGTAGCTGGGATTACAGGTGCCCACCACCACAGCTGGCTAATTTTTTTTGTATTTTTAGTAGAGATGAAGTTTCACCATGTTGGCCAAGCTGATCTTGAACTCCTGACCTCAGGTGATCCACCTGCCTCGGCCTCCCAAGGTGCTGGGATTACAGGTGTAAGCCACCAAACGTGGCCTCCCTTTCAAAGCACTTTCTGAAGTCAAACCTGAGTCAAGATTGCAACCCTGCAGAGAACTCTGATGGCAAAGTCTAAAACGATAGAATCCTTCCCACACCTGAGAAGGAAGTATTTTTTATAAGGAAACACCAGAATCGCACTTAAGTCACTGCAAAGGCATTCATGTTTATACATTTCTGAAATTGTCTTACTTGAACTTTAAGTGGCTTTTAGTGCTGTCAAAGTGTTTCCATAACCTTCTGTGAGGTTACTGTTACGGATCTCTATCTTCTTTGCCCCATCTGCTCAGCCTCCTTCAATTGATTATTTTCCTTCATTCACCTATCCTTTAAATATTAGTATTTCCTGATCCTTTTTTTTTTTTTGAGATGGAGTCTTGCTCTGTCACCCAGTCTGGAGTGCAGTCGTGCGATCTAACCTCACTGCAACCTCTGATTCCCTGGTTTAAGTGATTCTCCTGCCACAGCCTCCTGAGTAGTTGGGATTATAAGTGCCTGCCACCATGCCTGGTTATCCTGATTCTTTTTTTGATGACTCACTCTAGTCATGATTTCTATGGTGGTAGACACGGAAACACATTATCCAGATCTCCCTTCGAGCAAGGCCTTGCTGACTCACAGTGGGCAGCACCGGCACCAACATCCTCCAGCCATCAGTAGGGCCTGGCTCAGCTGCTGAGTACCCCCTCACTTGAGGTCATGACCTCTCTGGGACAGCACACCTGTGGTGACTGAGCAAGGCAGAAGTATAAAGAGGCTTCACCATTTCATCCAACACAGAACACTCCAACAGGCAATAACTGTTCCATAGCTCCTGACTGGGTTGACTGAGGTTTGTTTATTGATTGATTGCAGTGGCATGATCATAGCTCACTTTAGCCTCAAACTGCTGTGCTCAAGCAATCCTCCTGCCTTGGAATTACAGGCATAAGCCACAGCACCTGGCCTGACTGAGGTTTGGCTGGGCCTATAACATATGCCACTTCTTCCTCTGCCTAAAACTGTTTTCTCCCGCTTCTTTTATGAGACTTAATCTGTAACAAATATCTTGAACCCAAAACTCGGTCTCAGTAACTGTTTCTCTGGTTTCCAGAGAAGCCAGCTTGTGACAGTAGGTGATATTATCCCACATATTCTGTCACCGTAAGTTCATTACTACTAAAATATATTCTTGGCTGGGCATGGTGGCTCACACCTGTAATCCCAGCTCTCTGGAAGGCTGAGGCAGGCTGCTCTCTTGACTCCAGTTCAAGACCTGCCTGGGCAACATGGTCAAACCCCGTCTCCACTAAAAGTACAAAAATTAGCTGGCCGTGATGTGAAACACCTACAGTTCCAGCTACTCACAGGGCTGAAGTGGGAGATCACTTGAGCCCATGAGATAGCGGCTGCAGCGAACGCTGATCTACCACTGCACTTCAGCCTGAGAGACAAAGTGAGACCCTATCTCAAAAAAATGTAATAAAATCAAATAAATTTGATTACAAACACTCTTCTGAGCATGTTTAACTTCCCACTTTTACTTTTACAGTTTTACTTTAATATACCTATCAGCATCTAGAACCCAGCGTTTTCAAAAGTAACCCTTTCAGGCCGGGTGCAGTGGCTCATACCTGTAATCCCAGCACTTTGGGAGACCGAGGTGGGCATCATCTGAGGTCAGGAGTTTGAGACAAGCCTGACCAACATGGAGAAACCCTGAAAAATACAAAATTAGTTGGGCGTAGTGGTGCATGCCTGTAATCCCAGCTACTTGGGAGGCTGACACAGGAGGATAGCTTGAACCCAGGAGGCAGAAGTTGCTGTGAGCCAAGATGGCACCATTGCACTCCAGCCTGAGCAACAAGAATGAAACTCCATCTCAAAAACAAAACAAAAGAAAACACCCCATAAAATTAACTCTTTCTCTGACAAACCTACTCCCTTCCTCTTATCTGTCTCTCTTGATAAATGACACCACCATTTGCCAAGCCCCCATTGTCAATTTTTCCTTACCTCCTCTATTACCTATTTCTATGTTAACAAATTACTCCCCAAAATATAGTTTAAAACAATAAACATTTATGATCTAACAGTTGCAATGGGTTAAAATTTCAAGAGTGGTTTAGATGAGTGGAAACTGGAAGAGCAAGGAACATGTTCTCCCTTAGATCCTTGATCCAGAGAGCACACAGACAGCTTAATTTCAGCCGGGATACTGATTTTGAACTTACAGCCTCCAGAACTATGAGAAAATAAGTATCTGTGTTGTTGCCAAGTCCACAGTAATTTGTTACAGCAACCACAGGAAACTAATATAGTGGGGAAATATGTATAAATGGGTGAAGAAACTGTGAAGGGAAGCACACACTGTTCTCAGGAGGTACAGAGGCTGAAAAGGGCACCAAGTTTGGTTCAGTATTGCTCCATAAATGAATAAAAAGAGAATAGAGTGTAGCTGAACCTTTTGCCTATGATAAAAGAGAAAGCATGGATAAAGTCAGCAATAATTTATAGATGGTGTCACAAGTTGTACTTTATGACACTGTATAATACAAATTCATTTAGGGGTCTCTCTCTGCATAATTTCTCCCTATTCTAAGAGCATTTTGAGCACAGTTTGTTATGGGAGTGTTACAAGGAACCCTGACATACCAGCTCAAGAATGCCCACCAGAAAAGAATAAAATACTGCCCAAATCCCTAAGACCCAGTTTCCTGCATTTCTTCCACAGAACCAGTCAGGCCAAACGTGATTTCAAAGAACAATAAAACAGAATCTTTCTAAAATATTGGGAAGGGACTATGAATTCTGAGGTTCTGCAGAGCAAAAAGGACTGCATTCCTGCAGGTGGATCTTGGTTCCACCAGCTACCTAAACACAGCTGTACCTTGGATCTTGTAGAAGCCAGGACTATTTCAGAAAGACTTTTTAAAATGACCAAACGTTTGTTCAATCAGCCATGATTTAGAACAGAGATGGATGAATGTCAGAATTATTAAATTCATCAAGCCATTTAAGTCTGAGAAAACAACTCTTCCAAGTGTACAAAGTATTCTCGACAACTGGTCAATGTTAGTTAGGCTGTCACATTTCCACTCTTTGCTCTGTTTTTTGATTCTATAAAGTCCCTTCTTTTTTTTCTTTTTCTTTCTTTTTTTTTTTTTTTTTTTTTTTGAGACGGAGTCTCGTTCTGTCTCCCAGGCTGGAGTGCAATGGTGGGATCTCTGCTTACTGCAACCTCCCCACCCTGGCTTCAAGCGAATCTCCTGCATCAGCCTTCCGAGTAGCTGGGATTACAGGCACGCGTCACCACGCCTGACTAATTTTTGTATTTTTAGTAGAGACCGGGGTTTCACCATGTTGGCCAGGCTGGTCTCGAACTCCTGACCTCAAGTGATCTGCCTACCTCGGCCTCCCAAAGTGCTGGAATTATAGGTGTGAGCCGCCGCTTCCCGCCACCTCATTCTTTTTTTTTTTTTTTTTTTTTTTTTTTTTTTTTTTTAAGACAGTGTTTTGCTCTTGTTGCCCAGGCTGGAGCGCAGTGGCGCGATCTCCGCTCACTGCAACCTCCCCCTCCCAGGTTCAAACGATACTCCTGCCTCATCCTCTCGAGTTGCTGGGATTACAGGCGCGTGCCACCACGCCCAGCTAATTTTTGTTTTTTTTAGTAGTGACGGGATTTCACCACGTTGGCCAGGCTGGTCTCGAACTCCTGACCTCAAGTGTTCCGCCCGCCTCGGCCTCCCAAAGTGTTGGGATTACAGGAGTGAGCCGCCGTGCCCGGACACCTAACTCATTCTTAAGACTGGTCCCTACATAATTGTACAGTTTTCCTAACATCAGTCAGCCACCTTATTAGACATTCCAAATCTCTTCAACCAGACATCTTACAAAAGCTTTTTAGAGTTGCATACACAGAAAGCAGAAATCAATTATTACATTTGTTTCCTAGTCATATACTCCAGCCTCCCACAGAACTCAAGAATTGCCTTTGGCCACTCCTTGTCAGACGATGAAATATGTAACATCATAGAAGGGCTCAACAGATTGAGCCCTCGGCCTCCCAGGGCTCAATCTGCTTCACTAGGAACAGCTCCGAATTGTAGTTCTTAGGCGGGTATTCAATAGAAATTTTGGAAACTGAATGAGCTCATGTTTGCAAAGCCTTTGGCATAATTCCTGGCACAGAGAAAGCGCTCAATGAATGTTAATTATAATTAATGCAAAGCACCACCGTGCACTGTTGGATTCGCACAGCCTGGGAGACGGTTCGGTTGTCATCACCTTCTTACAAATGGCTAAACTATTAACTTGTTTGGTTGAGGAAATGAGCAAATAGGGAAAGCAAAATGTGACTTGTTTTACCTGCGGGCATTCGTCTCTGGGTCTCTTTATGAAAAGAGAGAGGACACCTTTCTCTTAGTTCACATTCCCTGCAGCCGGAAGATGGCTCTAGAACACTTGGCAGTAGGAGAGATAGAATGACTCAGAAACCAACTGATTGCCTTTTTGGCAGCCCCTCTGGGCTCGAGTCCTCCAGCAGCCTCTGGAGGAATTCCACTAGTGGAAGTCAGTTGTCAAGGAAAAACAGATCAGTCGCCTCGCGGTGATGACGTCATCAAGAAGCGGCGGGAATTGGGGGAGATTTCCGGCCCCCACCCGCGCCACGACTTTATACGGTCTCTTCCCATAATTCTCTCCTTCTCTTCGCCATCTTTTCTCTTCCCGTGGACCTGCCGCCATGAAGTAAGCAGGACCGGTGGGTCCCAATCCGCTTACATCCTCGGACAAAACGCCTCTCCAACGTCCGGGGCATGGCTGTAGACACTCTCCTTAATGGACTTTCACTTTTTGTTGCAGGGTCGAGCTGTGCAGTTTCAGCGGGTACAAGATCTACCCCGGACACGGGAGGCGCTACGCCAGGACCGACGGGAAGGTAAAAAGCCGCGTCGGTTTAACCTAACTTCTTGTACTCTCCGGAGGAAAGGCTGGTCTAATTCGGTTCAAACAGGTTCATTCCCCGCATCACCCTTGGTTTCTGGAAGGCTTCATGGATGCTCTGTGGACTGGTCGTTAGGACCAGAAGCCTCTAAGTGAAGCAGCGTGATTTACTGTGAGCCGGTCGGACATCAGGAGGGGTTTATATAACTGATGTAGGTTTATGTAACTTTATGTACATAAACCCCTCCTGATGTCCGACCGGCTCACAGTAAATTATTTGAGCTACTGAGATAACTGGCAGTTTTCTCTCGGAATCCCAGGACCGACAAGAGCAGAACGCCTCCCAAAAGGACGCACCACCCTGCCCTTCGCTATGAGCACAGTTACCTGCCTTTTGGTCTTTGTGGGCCTCAGTTTTATAAAATGAGAAGCCAGAACTAGAATATTGATCTAAGGATTTCAAGCTCATTCAGCTTCTTATACTTTGTATAGTTGACTATGTAATACCGTTGAGTTTGTCACTTTAGGTTTTTCAGTTTCTTAATGCAAAATGCGAGTCGGCGTTCCTTTCCAAGAGGAATCCTCGGCAGATAAACTGGACTGTCCTCTACAGAAGAAAGCACAAAAAGGGACAGTCGGTAAGTGGAATGGCCTTGATGTTGTGGGGCTTATCTCTTAAGTTGTTTAAGCTCCCTGAACGTTGGTTTTCTGCTCTGTAAAATTAAACCAGACTGTATGCAAAAGCGTTCCTGAACTGTAAAGCATCAGTGAAATAGGAACTGTCTCTATACATCTTAGGCTAACAGCAATACCGAGTTGAAATTTTAAAGTCAGATAAATAACGTTAAGCACATTTGGGTTATAGGGCACGGTGGAAAGGCTCAAGTTTTCCAGTGGGAGGAAATTGACTAGTTGCCATAATTTGGTTTTGATTACAATATTTATAGGATTAGTCCTAACGTAGCCATCAGTTGACTGTGAACCAGTCCACCATACTGGTTCGTTCTCAAGATAATGGTTTTTCTGGTCTTTGTTAAGTGTCCTTTCAGCTGGGTGAAGGAGGTACATGAGAAAAAGTTTGAGCGCCATGGTAGGACTAGTATTCAGGAGGCTTGGGAAGACTTAGCACCTTTTTGATGAAGGACTTTTCTAGGTATTGTGAGAAATAAATGTCATCAGACATAAAATATGTTGAAAGTTAAGAATAAGGAAGAACTTAAAAGTGGATGTGACGCGCCTATTAGGGTGACTGTTCAGAAAAGCATTACAGGTGTTGGTGAGGATGGGGAGAAACGGGAACCTTTGTGCATTGCTAAATACGATGCAGCAGCTGTGAAAAACCATTTGGTGCTTTCTCAAAAGGGTAAATATAAAAATTATCCCAGCAATTCCACTTCTAAGTTATCCCCAAAACAGTTGACGTTAGGGATTCATAACTTACACATCAGTGTCACAGCAAATCCAGGCTTGGTGGCAGTAGCTGTACTCCAGCTCCTCCGGAGGCCAAGTGGGGAGGATTGCTTGAGGCCGGCCTAGACAACAGAGGAGACCTTAAAAAAAAAGTTATTTAGATGGATAATGGTGATAGCTGCACAGCACTGTGAATGAACATAAGGCCACTATATATGTTTTTTTCTTTCTTTTTTTTGGGCGGGGAGACAGTTTCTCTGTTGCCAAGGCTGGAGAACAGTGGCAAGATGACAGCTCGCTACAGCCGCAGCCTTCTGGGCTCAAATGATCCTCCCACCTCAGCCTACCCAGTGGTCCACAGGTACATGCCACCGTGGCCCAGCTGATTTTTTTTTTTTTTCCTTTTTTGGGACGGAGTCTCCCACTGGCACCCAAGCTGTAGTGTAGTGGCGCCATCTCAGTTCACTGCAGTCTCTACCTCCTGGGTTCAAGAAATTCTCCTGCCTCAGCCTGCCAAGTAGCTGGGACTACAGGCATGTGCCAACACACTCAGCTAATTTTTTTGTATTTTTAGTAGAGACAGGGTTTCGCCATGTTGGTCAGGATAGCCTCCATCTCCTGACCTTGTGATCCACCTGCCTTGGCCTCCCAAAGTGCTGGTCACAGTGTTGACCAGGTTCATCTCAAATTCATGGGCTCAAGCAATCCTTCTGCCTTGGCCATCCAAAGTACTGAAATTACAGGCGTGAGCCAATCCATCCCCGCTAAATAATTATTTAAAAAGTTAAAATGGGCCTGGTGCAATGCCTCACGCCTGTAATTCCAGCACTTCGGGAGGCGCAGGCAAGAGGATCCCTTGAGCTTGGAGCCGGGAGTTTGAAACTAACCTGGGCAACATAGAGCGAAGACTCAGCTTCTGTTTTAAAAAAAATAGAAGATGGGCTCACACCTGTAATTTCAGCACTTGGGCAGGCCAAGGCAGGAGGATTGCCTGAGCTCAGGAATTAGAGGCCAGCCTGGGCAACATGGTGAAACCCGGTTTGTACTAAAAATAGGAAAATTTGATGTGCATGGTTACGGTGTCTTTGATCCCGGCTACTCAGGAGGCTGAGGAAGAAGTGCTTGAACCGGGGAGGCAGAGGTTGCAGTGAGCTGAGATGATGCCATTGCACTCCAGCCTGGGCAGTGGAACAAGACTTGGTCTCAAAAAAATACAAAAAAAAAAAAAAAGATTAAGATTGTCAGCTTTATGTTTTTACCGCAATAAGAAAAAAAGTTAAGTAGGCCGGGCACGGTGGCTCATGCCTGTAATCCCAACACTTTGGGAGGCTGAGGCGGGCAGATCACGAGGTCAAGAGATCGAGACCATCCTGGCCAACATGGTGAAACCCCATCCCTACTAAAAATACAAAAATTTGCTGGGGTGTGGTGGCGCGTGCCTGTAGTCTCAGCTACTTGGGAGGCTGAGGCAGGAGAATTGCTTGAACCCAGGGGGTGTAGGTTTCAGTGAGCCGAGATTGCACCACTGCACTCCAGTCTGGTGCCTGGCGACAGAACAAGACTGTCTCAAAAAAAAGAAAAATGTTTTAAGTATGGGTTTGAGATAAAAATATTAAATAAGTAAATACTGCCATTTACTGTAGAAACAATAAGATTTAATCTTTCTAAAAAGTTTAAAATTAGAATGTCTGTAAAACACCAATGTGCCTTATTTTTGCTAAAAGTTTTTAACGTAATTTTGTATTTCTGTGCCTTAATAAACAATTTTTCAAATATACTTTGTTCTTGGACTTGAAGGTGCACTGCAAGATCGTTGTCTCATAAACACTGTAGTATAGGTTTCCAGTATAGAATCTACAGAAAATGTTAGGTTAGATTCCACTCTGCCTTGATTCTTAAATATACCCTACCTAACATTTGGTGGCTCTCTTAAGTAATTGTCTAACTTGAGTATTTCTCCTAGTGACTGGCTTTTGAGTTAAAACAGCTGAACTAAAGTTTCATAATTGTTTTCAATATGTCAATCGTTAAAAGTGTAAACAGTCTTCATTTATGTTACTGCAGTCCATGCAATAAGCATTTTTCTTAGAGTTTTTTTTTTGTCTATTCAGTTAAAAAAATGGCTAGGATTCGTAATAAAGGGCTTAATCCATAAGTGGAAAACATGTTTTATTTCATTTCAAATAACTGAAATTTTTGTTGAATATGAACCTTAGAATTAATTTTTCCTCCCTCTAAATTCTTGAAGGAAGGTTCCTTAGTGTGCCCCCCAACTTTATTTTGCAGGAAGAAATTCAAAAGAAAAGAACGCGCCGAGCAGTCAAATTCCAGAGAGCCATTACTGGTGCATCTCTTGCTGATATAATGGCCAAGAGGAATCAGAAACCTGAAGTTAGAAAGGCTCAACGAGAACAAGCTATCAGGTGAGGAATGCCTTTTTTTGCTCTGTCACCTAGGCTGGAGTGCAGTGGCGCAATCTCCACTCACTGCAACCTCTGCCTCCTGGGTTCAAGATAACTCTCCTGCCTTGGCCTCCCGAGTAGCTGGGATTGCAGTCTAGTGCCACTGCGCCCAGCTTATATTTTGTATTTTTAGTAGAGATGGGGTTTCACCATGTTGGCCAGGCTGGGCTCAAACTCCTGACCTCGTGATTCACCTGCGTCAGCATCCCAGAGTGCTGGATTACAGGCGTGAACCACCACGCTTGGCCAGAACGCTTTCATTATGAGCATTTCACCTGTTGGGATGGATTTTAGGTTTGGGTCTTAACTAATTAATGTTGGCATATAGTCTATGTTAAGCTGATTTGGTGGTTAATGAAAATTATTGACAAACTCCTTGGATTTAGCCTAAAATAAATGGAGGTGGGGAACGAAGAAATATATGATCATTGTACTTGTCTAGTACTGTCTAACTCCTAGTTAATAATAAGTTGTACCATTAAGGAGTAAAGTGCTTTTGCCTTAAGTTGTTTTTACCCCACAGGGCTGCCAAGGAAGCAAAAAAGGCTAAGCAAGCATCTAAAAAGACTGCAATGGCTGCTGCTAAGGTAATTATGGGGTTTCTTGACTTCTTAAAATAATAAAACAGGAAAATTTCTTTTTTTTTCTGAGATAGTATCTCTCTGTTGGCTAGGATGGAGTGCAGTGGCACGTGATCTCGGCTGACTGCCACTTCCACACCTCCATCTCCTGGGTT